TCTGTATAGCAGGAAAAACCTCTTGAAATTCTGTTGACAAGTGTGTCAGTGTCGGTTGACTTTGTCGACAAATTAAAGAGGGCAATTTCGACAAACACTGTTCAAAGTTTAAATCAGAAACAAGTGAGTTTTCAATGTCCAAAACACGTTGAGTGCACATAGCTTTTGTTTATATTCTCTCTAAATACTACCATATACAGAATTGAGATTTTCCGTAAACAAGCTTTAGTAATTCAAGCGTATTACAATTTTGCAGTTATTGGCATTTTAAGACTGTTTGCCATTTCCCGTGAAGTGAAACTAAGTTATATAACTAAATCATTGTTACTGTGAAATGTAAAATGAAAATTTTCAATTTCAGTTTTTCTTTTGTTCTAGTTTATTTAATTTTAAGAAATATTTATTTTTATTAAAAATTAGTCGACATATTTTCAAAAATAAATCCTAAACTCAAAATGAATTTAAAAAGTGCACTGTGAAAAATGTTTAGTATCATCTACCAAAGTTTGGTTCTCTCTACCAAATTTTTTATTTAATATAGATGCAACTAATTTTTTGTTTCGCACAACTAAATAATTGTTTTTACCCACTTGGAAAGATTCCTTGGAAAGTGCCCCTGGAGGTTCTATCAGAATTCCGCCGGAACTTCCAACGTAATTCCGTCGGAATTCCATCGGAGTTCCAAAGAATTTCCGATGTGATTCCGACGGAGTTCCGCCGGAATTCTGACGGAATTCCGATTAATTTTTTTCAAAAATTTTAGAGTCCTAATTCCGTCGGAATCCCATCGGAAATTCTTTGGAATTCCGACGGAATTACGTTGGAAGTTCTGGCGGAATTCTGATAGAACCTCCAGGGAGCACTTTCCGGGGAATCTTTCCAAGTGGGTAAGCAATCAAAAAATTTTGTTAAATGAAAATTTTTTTTTTGTTTTCTCAACCAACTTATTTTTTGGTTCACCCTTTTCGCTTTATATAATTTACCTATGTCAACTTAAATTAATTTCAATCGCGGTAAAAACCTAACACTGCTGGGGCTTGAACCCTCAGACTACGCAACGCAAATGGAGAACGCGCTGACCACTATTCTACGAATCCTACTAACAATTTGAGATTAAATCATTTTTACAATGTATAAAGCCTGGAAAAAAGCTTTCATTCTTTTAACAAGTTTTATTTATTTATTCTCAATACATAAAGTTCTTTTTTAAAAAAATGTCTGAAAAACATAAAAACTTTAACACTGAAACTTTACAACGCGAACGACGTATGGTTAAAGTTGACATCCCGTGAATGGGAAACGACGACATATTTACGAGAACAGCGCGTGCGCAATTCAGCCCCACTTGGAAAGATTCCCCGGAAAGTGCCCCCTGGAGGTTCTATCAGAATTCCGCCGGAACTTCTAACGTAATTCCGTCGGAATTCCATCGGAGTTCCAAAGAATTTCCGATAGGATTCCAACGGAATTAGGACTCTAAAAATTTTGAAAAAAAATTAATCGGAATTCCTTCGGAATCCCATCGGAAATTCTTTGGAACTCCGATGGAATTCCGATGGAATTACTTTGAGAGTTCCGGCGAAATTCTGATAGAACCTCCAGGGGGCACTTTCCAAACTATTTAGTTCGTAAACATAAAAGCTTCAAATATATTTTTTGGTAAAGTCAACTAAACTTCCTGATTTATTGCCACTTTCTATTCTGTTGTGACAACCATATATTTTAGTAACGCCAACAAAAATACTCAACTAAATTATTTTCTTATTATTACGAAATTATTTTTCTTAGTTTATCAAATAAAAAAAAATACGTATTTTCTTATTTTTCATATAGATTTTGAAAAAAATGTTTCGGCCCCATTTAGAATTTGGCAGTTTTCAGATGTTATTTTCCAGAAACTTGAAATGGTCCATTGTTGCCGACTCTCCTCTCTCTTCCTCTCTATCTCTCTATAAATAAATAAAAAAAAATTGAATACGCGCTTTTTACGAGTGCGTTATACTGTGTAATTTTTGACCTTTTGCAATAATCGGCAGATATAAAAGAATGTCAGAACATCGATATTAACGAAATGACATAGCTTGAAGTGAGGCTAAACGTGATCGGTCGGTCGTTTTGTATCCCTTTAGAAGATACTAGGCTATAAACGGTTTAACGGTTCGTTACAAGCTGTGTAGAATTGTATATATATATATATATATATATATATATATATATATATAGAATATAGAAAAGGAGGCGATGCTCATAGACGTTTCGTATTGTTGGGACCCCGTAACTTTCAGTATCGTGTTCCATCCGCACACAATTCTGTAAAGTAAGGATGATCGTTTGTTTCAGGGAAAGCAAAAAGTGACGGTGCAGATCATTATTATAGTACGCGCGCGTCCAAGGTGTTACCGCGGAATTTCCTCTGCGAAAAGTAATTCACATTGCCGTAACAGAGTTCAAATAGGCGGAATTATCGTCCTCCGTCGTAAACCAGTTCGATTTTTCATTTGGGGCCTTTACAACAATATAACAATAACAAGAAAATGCCGCGGCAAATCGAATATACCCCAACAGAATATTTAGACCTCTGTTATTGGTCGGAGTATTTCCTAAGATCTTAGTCAACAATCATGGTGATAATGTTCAGGATAATAACGAAAACAAGTAGTGCTTCAGTTGAGTTTGCGCTAAAATAAAATAAATTTACAAGCAGGCTTTCTTGTTGAAAAAAATTAAAAAAAAAAAAAAAAAGTGAAACTTTATTGTTGAATCTATTTTCAATAGTTCGCGAATATTGTTAATAAATTTTAAATTGATACTCAAGATTCAAGCAAAAATTGCATCAATTTTGTCTACCTACTTTTTATTACAAAAAAAAAAACAACTGAATTTTTGATAAGTAACTTTTGTTCAAAACCACTTTTTTGAATTTCTCGTTTCTGAAGAATATAAATTGACAAATTAATCTTCGCTGGCTGCTATGGTAACGGCTGCTATATGGAAATGGTTGGAAGGTATCGGTGGCTATGGTAACTGTTAGCATGGTAACCGTACGAATGTACGATGGACGGACGGACGCCAAAACAAAACTATAAGGTTTTCGGGCCAAAATCTGGTCCACTCATGAGGAAGGTCCCCTAATTAAATGATTTCCATTGTTGTTTTGTGTGCACGTTGCCTCTCAATACTTAGATTAAGAACCTATGCATGAGGGAAGGGAGAAGCGCGCAATCATTGGTCGCTCTCCACCGTTCGCAGAGTTCTTAACTTGAATATCAAGGGACGTATATCATCCTTAGAATTAAATTACAAGTTTTTTGAAAATATCGTTATAAAAGTTGGTTTGGTTATAGTATATGGTAATAAGAAATGTAACACAAAACGGAAGGACTTTTTGCAATAAACATTTTGATGCACAGAATTATTTTTCATAAAAAACCAGAAAGTGGTTCACTGATGACTACATTTTCCAAAGTGAAAAATGTTTTAGAAACCTAATTTTTTTTTAAGAAATCATTAAGATTCATTATGTTTAATAAGAATTTAAAAATGTAATTTAGTTTCTTAAATTGGTCTAGTGATTTTCAAAAAAAAAAAAGATTTAAGTGTATACCTATAATGGTACTTTATGCAGCTAAACATTTTTCATGTTCTTTTCAATGCTTCAAAAACTGTTTAAACAAGTTTAATTTTTATATGTTTTTTTAAAAATGCGCTTTTTTTAAAGAAGTACTTAACATTTTTTAAAAAAAGCTGGGTACTTTAGAACTTAATTTTTTTTTAAATTAAGAATTTTTCTCCTTTTTGGAGATAAAATCTTCATCATTGCAGTTAAGGGGTTAAATATTGAAATTGATAAAAATTACATCACTTTTTAATGCGCTGGCTCCATTGAAGATATATATATAACAAATTGAAAAAAGAAGTTAAAAAAAACTTCACAGTTAATATTTCTATATTTTTATTTTAAACTTAAATAAGTTAAAAATTAGTTATTAAATATTTAAAAAGTAATTAGAATTTTTAATAAAGTTTAAAGAAGTTTATTAAATGAAAATGTTAACATATTTTTAAAACCGCAATAGTTATAGAGGTTTATTTTCAATTTTTTTTTGTCCACCATATTGAATCCGCCATTTTGAATTCTTGAAAACTGACTTTAAATTCCTAAGCTGCTAAAAATCTTAAAAGATATATTATTGGTGAATCGTAACCATTTGATACTTTCAAGATAACTGTGATTGGAAAAAAAATAAGTTGGTTAAATACTATAATAAATTTTAATTAAAAAAACATTAGAGAAAAAATGATTTCAAATTAAATTGAAAACAATTGTTAATAAAATTGAATAAATTTTAGAATATGATATGTACAAGAATTGTAATAAAAGAATTGTATCATAATGTGGTAATCTATATTTAATCATTTAGCTAATATGTCTTGCTTGGTTACGCTTAGTGAACGAATTAGATTTTCTGAGTCTAATGTTTCAGCTAACTGCAAAATATGAATACACATAAAGTTCTTTGGTTTGAACGTTGCATGTATTGCTTGGAGAAATATATATATATATATAGTAATAATAATTATCGTGCTGCTCGTCGGTTTAATCTTCGAAGGCAGGCCAGTACGATTGCTTCCTTATTGTATCCAAAAGAGACGACCACCTGTATTTACATCTTAGTTTCACATTAATTAAAAAAATCTTTGCATCCAAAAATTTTTTTTTAATTTTTGCTTTCTCATAGAAAAAATTTTGCCGTGCAGAAATTGGACTTAATTTTATATTTTTTTAATTCTAACTTATGTTCCATTTAAGATTATCATATATGTATATAAAACACTTGAGAATAATTGAGAAAAATCTCGCACGCATAGGGGATTGAACTCAGGACCCTTGGGTCACGAACCTTGTACTCTAACCACACAGCCACTTTGTCTTACATATCTTTTACCTAACTTTCGAATATTAAAACTTTACTACCTTCTGTTTATGATAACTAAATTTTTATTATCTCTAAATTTTTTACATTTAATAATATTTTATAACCCTTTGAAATAATTTGTGTAAAAAAAATCATAAAATAAATTTTTTTTAATTATTAATAAATTAACTAAATAATTACAAATTAGTCAAAAAAGCAGAGAAACATTAGTAGAATATAAATTTCACGATATTATACAACTATAGAAGAAAATACTGTTAGTTAAAATTAATTTTAAAAGGTTGTTCGAATTATTTAGTTTAAAAAAAAAATATAATACCGTCTCATATAAATAATATCGCATAAATCTTTCGGTATAATTCGTCAATATTTTTCACAGTCGTTCGGCGCACAGGTTCTCTTGTATTAAATGTAGAATAAGCTTGCTTTATTCAGGATCAGCGTCCATGCGGTTGCTTGTTTCTGAAACAAACACATCAATTATTTAATTGATGAAGCACAGCTATAGATTTTCTGTTATTCACACAATTGCCCAAAATAAACTTAATTATATATACTAAATATATATAATAATAATAATAATAATAATAATAAAATTAACATATTTATAATAAAATTATATTTGTTTTATATATAATAAATTATACGTTTCTATAAAGTTGCGGTAAAGTTATACTATTTTCTATATAGCCACTGTATAGTTGAACTTCACTGAAACTAGCTAGAAATTTAACGCTACGACTAATAAATCTCTAGAACTTATAATTAAAAACATTTTTGGCTGAATAAATAAATTATGGTTTAAGAACAATCACGGTGCGCCAGAAGGTGGCTTAAATAAAAATGAATTGGCACTTAAAAATTCTTTTTGATTATGATTCTTAGATGAATAACAAACATTTCTCAATAGTTTTTAAAATCAGTTGACGTTAAATAAAATTGAGTTTTTATATAAAAACAGTGTTTTATGGGGAATCAGAATTTATTTAATCTAATAAATACTGTAATAAATGATAAAATAATTACTTATTTTCAATTTTACATATAAATAATTATATTGCTGTAGTGTTTGTGTCCAATTTTAAAAAAATAAATTATAATGTTAAAAGAACGATTTTAAGAGTGACAAAATTTATTTAAGAGAGTCGAATGATCTCTGAAATTTTTTAGCAAGAAGAGACCTTTAATTATCGCTCTATAAAAACGGCACTAAACGTGAAAATGATAAAAATTGATTTTAAAATACTTTCTTCTCGAAAGACGGACACTTTTTACAAAAGCAGCTAGAGATCGTTATCTTATATAAATTTCCTAAATCCGAAAGATTATACGAATCCATACAAACACACGATTGTAAAACGAAAAGTAATATAATGAGGGGTTCATTACCTCTTGCCGCCGTCAGATGGCAGCAGCATGCAGGGCGCACAAAGTCGTAGCTGTTATTAGATTACTTTTCTACTTTTTGTTTTGCAACCATGTTTTTCTATGGATTCGTACAGTCTTTTGGATTTAGGAAATTTATAAGATGAGGATTTTGGCTGATTTTGTTAAAAGTGTTCGTGTTTCGAGAAAAAAGTATTTTAAAATCAATACTATTTCACGTTCAGAGCGATAATTAAAGCTCTCTTCTTGCCAAAGAATTTCAGATACCGTTCGACACTCTTAATGCATAAATATAAAAATAAAACAAGAAAATAACTTCATTGTCAATAAATTTATATGAACCCAAATCTAAAACATCTATTATCTATACACATTTAAGTATACATTAAATAAATTCTAGTTCCTCATAAAATACTATTTTTAAATATTTAAAAATCAATTTGTTTTAAATTGGGCACGTAAGTTGATTTTAAAACCTATTGAGAAAAGTTTTTTATTCATCTTAGAACCATAATCAAAAAGAATTTTTAAGTGCCATTTCATTTTTATTTAAACCTCCTTCTGGCGCACCGTGCAATGGAATGGGATTCAATTTGTTTGTTAAAATTCACAAATAAATTAGATCAAAAAATAATATTTAGCAAAATAGGATAAATTGGAATAAAAATACATAAATCATGAATTAATTTGTCATTGTCCGCTACGCTAATTTTTTACAATAAAAGAAAACAGATTTCCTTGTACAAACACGAGGTTCGACAATGGTCACAAAAGATATCTCCATTTTTATATTTTAGTGAAATAAAATTAATTTAAATCATTTATGAAACAAAAGAAAGAAAAATTTTGTTGGTTAACTCTCAGTATTCTTTTTATACAATATTTCCTTATCAAAAAATTAAAATGAGACTGTTAATTTAATTGAAAAAACGAAAGTAAAGACCATGCCATTTTTACGGAACCCGGTCGTAGGAAAATCCGAACGCACTAACCTAACCCGTAGCATGCGCGCGCCACCTATCGTCGATTGACGCGATATGGCGCGAAATTAATTCAAATTCAAACTTTACATAAAATTAAAATTAAAAAATATTTTTTATATTTATTTACTAAAATTAGATATAAAAAAAAGAATTTAATTTTGATAAAAATTAATATGAAATTTTTTTTTTTATTTCTAAGGGGAAAAACTTTATGGAAAAAAAAGAACAAAGTAATATCCTATATGTACTTTATTGAAGTAGATAATTTATCTATCGTGAACAAATTTATTATTATATATTTTTTTTTCCTTTCATACATTTTTTCGTGTAAATAAAATAAGTGTAAAGAATTTAAGGATTTTTATTTTTATTAGGGGTGTGTTAGACATCATTCTTAAATGCTTATATTGCAAAAAGAAAAAAAAATACCGAGGCTCAAAGATCACGAATCAGGATAGTATTCTTGTAACATTACGCGCTCTACCTTAGCGCGAGCGCGCGCTTTTACATAGATCGACGCTCTGCAATTTGTATCTGCCTGAAATCGCAGATAACGTTACAGACGTGAACATTAATTTCATTGTTATGATGCCAGATTATATACCCACACGAATGACATGCGGCACCTCACACACAAAACTACCGTTTATTCTCTTTTTAGATATAGGTATATATACATTTACATCCACAAAAGAAATTTTTTATTCAAATTTAAAAAAAATGTTTACACTAATGTTTTATTTTTTATTTATTACGTTTAGATAATTTTTTAAATAATATTACTAATAGTAATTACTATTAATATTTAATAATAATATAATAGGTAATAATTATAATTCCTACAATTATTATATATATATATATATATATACTAGAGGGGCTACGCCCCCCTGCGCGCTTCGCGCGCCAACCCCCCTATTTTAATCATTTTTTTCTTAATTTTCCATTGATCTTATTTTTCCAAATGAACCACCGATTTCAAAGAATTATTATTACAAATTAATGAAATCTGAATGAATATTATACAAATTAAAATTATTAAATTTTAATTAATAAATTAATTAAATTAATAATAAATAAATAATTAAATAAATTAAAATCGACATTAAGAAATTATTTTTAAAAATAATTTTAATGAAATTGCCTAACAACCAATAAATTATTAAAAAGTCTTGAAACGAACATAACCTTTAAATTCAAGTCATTTTTGGCCGAAACTCCACCTTCACTTGCGGCTATATTGAAAGTCTTGAAATTTACATAACCTTAAAATTTATGTCATTTTTGGCAGGAAATACAAAGAGAGATGAGGGAAGGGGGAAGGACTTACTGCTTTATTAGGGTCTTAAAACAAACATAACCTGAAAATTTAGGTCAATTTTTGGCGGAGGAGGGGAAATGAGAGGAGGGAGGGGGGACTTGCGGCTATATTCAGAGCCTTGAAACGAACATAACCTCAAAATTTAGGTCATTTCTGTCGGGGGAGGGGAGGGGACTTGCGGCTATATTCAGAGCCTTGAAACGAACATACCCTCCTAATTTAGGTCATTTTTGACGGAGGAGGGGAAATGAGAGGAGGGAGGGGGGACTTGGGGCTAAATTCAGAGCCTTGAAACGAACATAACCTCAAAATTTAGAAGGGGGGACTCCCCCCTCCTAGGTCAAGAATTCTTGAAACAGCGGCGGCGGCGATATCTTTTTGTAATGTAGGAAGATATACATATAATATCCTATATATAATTTAATATTAATATTTATTACTAATATTTCAACTTGTATAGAAATAAAATAAAAATAACAAAATAAAATTGATCATTATTTCTACAAGATATTATAAAATTTTTAAAATTATTTTTATAAATTTTATATATAAAAATGAAAATACTATATATATTTAATAAAAGCAGTAATAAAATATGCTTTAAAAAATTAATTCTACTTAAATAATCTGCTTCAAAAAAAAAAGAAGAAGTTTCAGTTAGAGTGATCCAATTATATTTTTCTGTCAAAGTAGAAATGTGCCGTTATAGTCAGACATGGGATAATGTCGAGAGTGAAAAGAGTGATCTTGGCTAAAACATATATCTCACATGAACATTATTCAAATTAATTACCATAGACATTTTTCATCTAATTTATTTATAAAAATTCAATTTGAAAATTTAATTTAATAACCTACATAAGTTAATTTTAATTTTTAAAATTTATAACAAATTTCATTATTTAAAAATTTTAGATCTTGTAGAATTAGTAATTTTTAAATATATATTACTCACTTACAAATGAAATAAATTATTTCTATTCTTTGCATATTAAACAAATTGCTAACTTTATACAAGAAAAAAAGAACTAATTAATTGAAACTGAATATTTATTATTCTTATTTTTTAAATAAAATATTAATATAAATTTTTGAATTAAGTTCTTTTTTTACTAAATCTTGTTGTACTAAATTAATCATAAATATAGGATAATATAAATATATAAACAAATGAAAAAAACTGTAATTACTTTTTGGTAGGTTATTACTAAAAATTACAATAAAAATTTGTAGAAAAAATGATAATAACTATACACTGAAAAAAAAATTTATTCGTTTTAAATACTCGATTGCTTGACTATTATCAAATAAATATTTATTTGTATTAAATAATTATTTATTTGTATCAAATAATTATTATTTAAATCAATTAAACCCACTTGGAAAAATTCCCCGTTAAGTGACCCTTGGAGGTTCTATCAGAATTCCGCCGGAACTACCAACGTAATTCCATCGGAATTCCATCGGAGTTCCAAAGAATTTCCGATGGAATTCTGACGGAATTAGGACTCTAAAATTTTTGAAAAAATTAATCGGAATTCCATCGGAATTTCATAGGAAATTCTTTGGAATTTCGACGAAATTACGTAGGAAGTTCCGGCGGAATTCTGATAGAACCTTCAGGGGTCACTTTCCGTGGAATCTTTCCAAGTAGGAATGGTATTTATTTGCCCCCACAGCACCGAAACTTTCCTAAAGATTTCCTAAAGATTTATTTGAAATGTTCGGAATATTTAATTGCAATGTTTAGTAAAAATTGTGTAAAGATTTAA